ACTCACAAAAACAGTAATATTACCTTGCATAGCACAGGAGGTGCTGGTTTACCACAGCTTCGATCAGTCAATTAGTTTGATTAATTGTGTGAATTTGGTGTTTCAAAAGTGTAGTTCAGATTCACCAAAATCCCACAATTACACAAACAAACTACTGATAGAGGCAGAGTTAGACCAGCTGCTCCTGCATTCAATGAGGTAAAATTGCTGTTTTTGTCAATGGAGTCTGGCTGGTTTGATATGATCTGACTGTTGTTAAACACAGTCGCATATCACTGTGATTCATCGCAAATTTTCTCCATTTTTGGATTCTTACTTCACCAGAGGCATGCGAGAGAACACAATGACACAAGGTCAGTAACTGATACACAAATAGTTATTCAGGGGCGTGATGTATTTCTTTAATTTGGGTCCATTTACTGACGTACAAACCACCAACAGGAATATCATTAAGAAAGTCTGATTCATCAAAGAAATTAATCATTATTGTCCTCCTCCCACTCTCTGAGAAACCAGGTATGGCTGAAAAACAGAGGCCTCTCCAAGTGTGTAACCTGTAGGACTGGCCCAGCAGGATGGCTGAGGGATTACCACAGGAGGAAAGTAGGAGTGTACACATTTGTCTGGATGATGATGATACTGATAATGTTCATTCTAACAACAAGTCTTTTTATTTGCTGTGGATTCTTTGTTCAAGAGCAATTAGCATTAGTCTTCTCTCTATGAATCAGTTCCCATATTATCTTATTTTTCAGGTTTTCATGGCTGCCACAGTGAGGCTGTGTTTCTTTGCTCCATCTCAATCTGGATTCTTTCAAGAGAGAGAGTGGTAATCCAACGCCACACTCCAGCAAGTCCAGCAGTGTATCTCCTTACAGCAATCAGCCAGGCACAGCTCATCCCCAACTGCAAGTCTATCTCCTTCAGACTCACAGGCGCATCAATTATTTCTCACTGAAAGTTTTACAGGTGTCTCTGTTTACACCGTCTTTATACACGTTACAAGAGGAGGCAGTCACATGCTGTGAAGAATGTTACTGAGGGATCTAATTAAACACTAAACTTTCTCCAGTCTGCATATTAAACATTTTCCCACTTAACCAGCACATGTAAAATTCATATTTAAGATGGAAATTGTTAGGTTTTTTATTTCAAAATGTCTGACATCTTTCCTTGTGATGTAAGAAGGAGAGAAAGTCTGTTAATGTGACACCCTGACTGTGTCAAAAGGGTCTTTATCATCACACTAAACCGAGCTCACGTCTCAAAGTGTAACCCAGTCTTTGTTATTTTTAGCACATATGCAGACACAAAATGATCCTGAAGGTGAGACAGATGTAACTCTGCAGTTTACATTTTTGATGCTGCTTGGAAACAGTGTATCCAACAACAGGGTAACACAACAATGACTTGAGCTGGGTTAACAACAGTGGGATTAAGTAGGGTTAAATGGTTTTTATTGCTTTTTTTTTGCTTCCATTCCCCCTTATTTGTTGAAAATACAATTTCAAGATGTCCACGCTTGTTGGGATTTTACAAACTTTTAGGTGTGCTTTGGAATTGCTACATTTCCTGCATGTTTGCTTCTCATGAAACAGGTAGAACAGGTCACAGACGGGAATGCAAAACAAAAGACTTCGCTGTCAAGTCTTTAAACTTTACTCTGACTGTTGCTTGGTAATGCACACAAAGGACATGGGTATGCCTGTAAACTCCCCCTAAGTTTAGGGAAGGAAATGACAATGCTCCATCACATTTTAAAACCATGCTGCAAAATAAATTTCAATGTAACATACTGAGTAACTGTATTACATTTTCATTTTGATTATTTAGTGGAATGCATCAGATTATTTAGATATTAAAACAACTACACTGCTTCACACACTTCATTCTATGGATGAGAAAATGTTTCCTATAAATGTCAGTTCATCTTGGCACTTCATATCCAGAAATCCACATCACACACAAGTCTATGCCAATAAAATCCAGGGTAAAGTTGCAGCCACCAGTGCCAGTATGGTAAATGCTGACAGCAAAACGAGCAGGCATCGTGCAGTCGTGCAAATTCTGCGCCTTCGCCTGCGCTGAGGTTGAACCACAGTCATCACAACACTGAGCGCATCGTCTTCAGCCATGGGTCGCCCCTGAGCGCTTATGATAAAGATCTGAGATGCGTTATTGCTGGGGCTGATCAGCCTCTGTCGACGGATTCGTTCAGACATCCCCCTAAAGCAGCGAGCAACCCAATTAACTTCTCTCGGCGAACTGTCCGTGGAGGCGCGCCGTGCGCTCTGGAGCTGTCTCGGCGGCGGAGGCAGAGGCACCTCCAGGGTCTGCCCTTCACCTGAATCCTTGTCCGCCGCGAGGGATACCAGCGATTCCTTTTGCTTCTTGATGAATGTAAGATGTCGACAGATGGGGCAAACAATAGTGTCTCTGATACTGTTCCCATCGCTGTTGATGCTGACCAGCGTTTTGACCAGACAGTCGTGGCAGAATACATGTCCACAGCTCAGGGTACTCTCTATGCCCGACAGACACTCATAGCACACCGGGCACTCTCGTGCGTCCTCCTGGCTGTCTTGCTTATAAAATGCCATTTAAGGAAAATCCACCACCGCCGCAAGAAAGCTGAGAAATGATTTAGACAAGACAGTCCATTCCTGTGGAAATGTAGTGTGAATTCCCTCGGCGCATGACTTTCTGTGCTGAGGGTGGAGGCGAGAACTGCGCCTTGTAAAACAGGGCCTGCCACCTGTGACTGCAGTGACTTCACTGATTGGGTCCTCTGAAGGTATCACTGGCTGTTCAAGTGGCCAAGCTGGTTTGCGTTACATGATTTTCATAAGGCTGCATGCTCACTGACATTCTCTAAATATTAGCAACACTAGCACATCTGACCAACTGGAGATATTTTCAAAGCTGCAGCTTATATTCTAATGTAGTAATGTCATTAAACTGCACAAAGTCAGTAACTAGGCTACATTTAAATGTAGATTTGCTAATGAAAAATAATTATCTTTTTATTTGTGTTTATGTCTTTCTTAATAAAAAAGTATCAAGATTTCAACAAGTCATTTTCTCCAATGAAACTGTGTTTGTAATAAGTTAATGGGACTCAATGAACTTTGCCCTTAAAGGAACAGTGTGCAAGATTTAGTGGGATTTAGGGACATAAAGCAGCCAGGATTGCAGATTGCAACCAGCAGCAACTTCTCCCCGTAAGGATTCCTTTAGTGTTCATTGTTCAGGAGTTTTTTACTGGGAGCCAGATATCCCACAGAGGTCTCCTTCTCTCCAAATAAATGGACCAGGTGTTTAAAACCAGTAAATACACTGAATAAAGTAGTATCACCCTAAAAAAATCAGTGCTGTTCCAACACTGCTCGTCATGGACAGGCTGCTAAATACTGTGGCTGATGCAAAAATACTAAAACTATGTAAAATCGTGAAAATGCAAACACATAAGAATGAAAATAGCCCTATCTAGAGCTGGTTTAGTTTGTCTGTTCTAGGCTATTGTAGAGACATGGCGGTGCAACATGGAGATCTCCATAGAAGGACCTGCTTCCTATGTAGATATAAATGGCTCATTCTAACGTTACGAAAACACAACAATTCTTATTTTCATGTGATTATACACTAAAAAAATATATATATACTATATTATATTCCATTTAGTATATCCCCCTAAATCCTACACACTGGACCTTTAAATCAAATGTTCTTACCACAACCTGAGTCACTAACAAGATGAATAATAAATCAATGAATTTATGGGAATTAAATGAATAATGATGGTCTATACTTTACATATAAGACAAAATTTTGGATTTTGGTCCAGTGTTTTTGTGAACCACATTTCTTAAATGGGAACAATAGTTTAAATTCTGTTCTATTGTGATGTCAGCTCATAGACTGTATGTATCAGGGGTGTCAAACATACGGCCTGTGGGCCAGAACCGGTCCAACAAAGGGTCCAATGCGGCCCACTAGATGACCTAATAATGATGCACTTGTGAAGGCTAAGGGGTGCCAGGTTCCAGGACAATTTAAACAGTAAGTAGATTACTTGAGTAAAATACTGCCTCAGAGGCTTTTCACCCTGACCAGAATAAAGTTCTCCGAAATAACAAGATATAATTACTGTGGTTATATTTAAGGGTACTGAACATTGTGCAAAATATTGTCAACCAGCAGCTTCAGTACAAAAGAACACTGACAAAACTTCAGATAAATGGCTTGTAAGGCAGAGGATGGCTTACCTGCTTCTTTCATAGATTCCACTTTAGAGGGAGTGGAAAATTATGAAAAAAATGCACATGTAATGAAAGTAAGAAGTAGACTGGCTGAAACTGAAATATTGTTGAATTTGCACATATTTTTCTTAGGATCATTTGTTTTGTAAATGGATGAACATTTTCAGAAGTTTTATTTACACTAAAAAAGCAAACGTTTGAAGGGGTTGCTATTCATAAGTTATTATGCAGTGGTTTTACTGGTCTGGCCCACTTGAGATCAGATTGAGCTGTATGTGGCCCATGAACTAAAATGAGTTTAATCCTGGTAAATACCTATAATAGGCCACAGTAGTTGTAACATAAAAACAGACAAAAATAATTAAAAAAATTAATAAGGGAGACAAAAAATGCAGTCGTTTAAAACAATAAAAATAAATGAATGGCACATTTCACAGCTAATATTGGCCCCAGTAGAGACAATAACAGAGACACAATAGATGAGAAAGAACATTATGGTATTTTGTTGTTCCCTGTCCATGTGTGGTAGTTTCTGGCAATCATATGCCACCTTGTGGTCACTGTAGAGAAACTATGCTGCTTCAAATCTACAGCCAAAGAAAATAAAATGTGCTGCAGAGTCTGGTACATCTATTTCTATAGCAGCCCTGCCCAGTTCTGACGTAAACCTGAATTACGTCAGCACGCACGTCCATGTCAGGATTTACGTCGGTTCCGGGAGACGCGTTGGCAATTTCCTAAACACAGCTCAGTCACTTCAGTATCATCCGAGGCCAGGGTAGGGGAGGTGTGTGTATGTGTGTGTGTTGGATGTGACACCGGCTGGAAGTAGACCCCCTGATACAGAAGATATCTGGACACCGATTTGACATGAGCAGGTACCGAATTTAACCGTGTTAATATCCGGTTTTAATGTGTTTTAATGTGTGTGTGTCGAGGTGTCGTGTTCAGCTCAGCGGCAGCTTCTGTGTCATTCCCGAGATGACAGCTCGAGCTCGGCGTCAGTGTCCGGAGGTTTTAGCTCTGATTTTTGCTTCATGTGCGGTTCATTTTTAATCTGTGGTGTTGTCCGTTTTATTTTAACAGCTTAAAACGCACTGTTTGGTTTTAACCTAAGCGTCTGTGCTGTGTGAGATACCCACACACTGACGACACGTTTACTAAGGTTAGCTAACCGAAATGACAAAATGCCGCCGTTCAGATAACGTTACATTTGGTCTGATAAATGTCAGTCTGTCATTTTCAGGACTGCTTTTTACCTCTAAAAATGTGTTGCCTGTAAATGACAGTTAATTGTAATGCATGTAAGTTGTCACTTTTATATTTAAGCTTCCTTTTGTTAGCTTTTAATGACGCTTTTATAAACATCATGGCTATTTGAAACCTCTAGCATTTTCCTAGCCAATTTGGATGACCTCCTGCAGCTAAATCATAGCACAAGGAGCCAAAATATAGGCCCAGGTCAGGGGAGCCCTACTGTACCACCACACCCTGAAAAGCTGTAGGTCAGATTATCATCCACATTAGAGCAAACTAGTAAGACTACAAAGAGGTTTTTGACCCACCACTCTCACAGGCCCCATTACAAAAATCTGACTTCATCAGTGTCAGCATGTTAACTCTTAGTAAGCACCCAGTCATCTGCAACAAAAGAGGATGTAGAGACAAGAATGTGGGAGAGGAAACTCTCTCTTCGCTACCTTCCTCTGTCTGTAGTTTCTAGATGGCTCCACAGTAAGAGTGCCACCACCGCCACCATCATCTTTGCTGGCTATGAGCCCTGCACTCTGTCCTGGTATTGTTACAGCAGACAAATAGATCCAGGGGTCAAGCTGACGCCGCTCCAAAGGATGCTGAAATGAGAGATAACAGGAACTGTCATGAGTTCTGGCAGGGTTTCAGCTCTCAACCTGTTGCGTGATGTAACTCAACCTTGTCGTCTCATTTGGAGTGTGTCCCAGTCTGTCCTTAATATGTTATCGCTCCTGTCATCGGTCAGTGAGCTAATACATCGTCTAGTCTTTTGAGGGGGTGATTATCCCAATAAGGCCTTTGATCTGAATCACCATGGAAACAGTTTCCTGTTGCTCGTGCCTTTTGAAGACCAGCAGTAGGGACAAATAGAAAGCACTGGATCCCACTCTGACCATTCAGCATCACAACAAATAGAAGATCTGCCATGTTTGCTACATTACCTGGCTCCTCTGGTCTGTGTCTATAATCAGGGGGATTTTTAAAGGCTCACCTTGTTCATATGATACTACTAGCATGTTATGTCAGTAACAGCTTGGCAACACTTTCCCTCTCTCCACCCTTTGGGTATTTTGGTCTCCAGTTTCCTTCGTGATTTCCTAAGTAGCGTACCGACACGTGAGGCGCCTGTGGGGAGTGCACTGTCTATGACGCCATCTTAGAGGAATGTTTAAAGGAAACAGCGGGCGGTTCTGCCTCTGAGTCTCCATCCCTCCGAATCTAGACCATCTTAGAAAGGAAAAAACACACCCTCTTCTTTGCCTAAGCCCAAGACAGGCTAGTCTGGCCAAAATAATACCTGCCTTAAACTGTTGAGTGTAGTTTACCTGACCTTTTAGTCCAGCTAAGCGGTTTCCTGTGTGGCATTCCCTGGTTGTCAGACCTATATCCAGGAAATCCTTGTAATATCTGCTGGGATTATGAATACTCCTGGTGCTACAGCTATGGGACTGTCAGGGGGGCAGCAGCTGTGTTTCCCGCCATGCTGAACACACACAGCAGCTCTTTCCAGATGTGTTAAATAGTTTCTTGAAACCTGCCACATAGATCACAGAGCGAGGCAGAGTTTACTAGCTCACCAGAAAACAGGAACAAATTTTTACTGAAGTGTTATTTCCGCAAACAGGACAGAAGATGAAAACTTTTAACACTAAGTCAAAACTTCTGAACTAGGCTACAGCACACAGCTTTGATCTGTTCAGCATTAGCCACGCTTAATTAACATGGATTTCCTGTAGTAATGCTGACATCACATGAGTCGAGCTGCGAGGTTATACATTTAATGAGGAGAAGGCACACTTCTGTTAGACACTGGACACATGTCACTGAGGCTGTTCAGTCACCGACAAGCTTGCCAAAAAATGAGGCAATAGTCTGTGATTAATGAGTAACTAATAATGACACGATCTCAGAGCGGCAGGGTAACAAGACCAGGCCAATCTTGCGCTGTTCAGCATTTTTTAAGTAAAGAGAGATCTGTTCTGTTATCTTCTCCAGTCAGGAATGAGAGACATTTTTTTAATCTTGATGTGCCCGTTTGCTTAGCTCTGAGATAAGATGAGAATGCACGGTGCATGATTCTGCATGCCAGAGGATGCAAATAGCACAAGTCTTGTACTGTGTTTGAGCCACCTGCTAGTTTATTTTCCAATGCCTGTTCTACTTTTAACCTCACGAGCACTGGTGTTGCATCATTTTCACATGTGGTTTAAGCACCTGGCTAACTGTTGTGAGGCTAATAAATGTCTCTTTAATCCTCAGGGTGCCCTGACATGGACACAGAGATGATTCCCAAATTTTCGTCAAAGGATGAGGAAGTTGACTACTGGAAGTCCCAAGCCCTCAAATACAAGAAAAGGTAGGCAGTGTGATTTACCTCTCATATGAGAAGTGTCTGAATGTCTATATATATATGTGCATAATCTCTTCATCCATATTTAACATCTTGTTAAGAACAGTTATGACATACTGTTCGGCTATAGGATAGATGTTTTGCTGTGCATGGAGAGTGTTACCGGTTGTCTGCTAAGTTTATTCTTACAAATTGAGTTATGTAACAACGTGTCACGTTTTATTTTGTGATCTGTCTTGCAAAAACGTTGAACCAAATAGCAGATGGCAGCAATCTCCCATAAGAAATAAGCACACTCGGAAAACATAAACACTCCACACAGAGGGAAGCCTAATTTGTTTATTAAGGAGCTGTAGTCACTCACTCTTACATAATAGTAATAAGCTGACTGTGTAGTTTTCTCTGTAGTTATGAAAGACATGATTACACAATGCTTTTTTCATCATCTATCACCATTTTCTTTTTAATTTGTGGTATTTCTCTATAAAGTTGCAGCATAGAAACCCATGTCTAGCCATATAAGGCAAATGACCAGACAAGCGTTTTGAAATTAGTGCCCACAGCTGCGGCTTACACAGGAGGAAATGACTACATCTTTGACTTCTTAAACAGAAATCACAGTCTGTGTCTGTGCTCTGGCAGTGGTGCTTGTGAGTGTTGTTTAAATCTTTGTTGAACTTTGTCTGTCTGTCTTTTCTATTTGTGGAGAAGGGCCCCTGTTATGCTCTCAAAGGAAGTGTAGACCTGCACACAGAGGGTTAAAGTCCTGGTGGTTTTCTAAGAAATTCCTGCTGTGGGTACATAGGGGAAAAACTTCAACCCATGGAAAAAGTAACTCCAAGTATATAGTGGCTTGTCTCACACATGTTTTGGAGCGTGCTTTTTCTCAGGACTACTCTTACGGTAAACCGCTTACAGTGGCAGCGTGTAGTGTGGCCCTTTCCACCAGAATTGGCGCAGATATGGAGGTTTTTTTAAACATGAGAAAATACGCCAAAATAGGCGAAGTGCTTTAGAGTCAAACCAAATGCATTTGAAACACTAAGGAGAATAAAACACCAGGATAAAAGATAAAATACAAGAAGGGCAAAAATTAAAAATCAAGTTGATAATCAAGAAATTAAAAACCAATAAGATGCCAATAAAATAAACAGCAAGGTCAGATAAAATCAGGACATGCTCTTTGATGAAAGTACGTTTTTAGAAGAAACTTGGATGACCCAGACAGCCTCTGGGGCCTAATTACAAAAGCTCTGTCCCCTTTAGTCTTCAGCCCAGACCCTGCCCTTTGACCGATGATGTCATACTATGCAATTGACATTGCTGATAGACCAGAGCTGCCACAGCTGCTCTACAGTATACAAGTATGTCATGTTCAGCGTTACGAATGTGCCGGAAAAACAGGTTAGTAAGCAGTAGATATCAGCATGGAGGCCAATGATAATGTTACAGTGGTTACTTCTTTTTTATATCTCTTACTTATTCAGTTTGTCTTCAGTACCAACTAATTTGGAGCGATGTTTGAGCACTGCTTAGACAAAGATCAACAGAATTTGTGGCAGCACATTGTTGCATCATACCACAAAAGGGGCGAAAGTTAGTGTGTTCACCAGGGCATCGTACTTCCACCACTGCCGTTTGGAGACATTCAGAGCTACAGCTGATAAATAACCTGTTAATACTGCAGAGTCATTTGTACCGGGAATGAATGCTGATTGAAACCTTTCCAACTAAAAACAAAAGCCAGATAGATTGTTTGTTTTTGTCCAGTGGGAAAGGGACCTATTGAAAAGTTATCTCCTTTTTAAACTTAATTTTTTTCTGCTTGGACATAAAACATTTCATGAATATCACTTTAAAGATGTGAAATGGTTTTGCGTTTCCTGAGAGCTGCACACAAGTGAAATAAAAACATTAAAGCTACATTTAAAACATTAAAACAAGATGAGAACAAGGTAAAACCACACATAATGATAAAATAAAACAGTGACAAGTAACTCTAAGCATGTATACCAATATAAAGTTTGTCTTAAATATTAATAAATAAGTGACAGCAGCAGTTTAAAGTGCATACTTTAATGTACATACAGAGTGCTGTTGGTCGTTTTAAACTATATAAAGGGTGAGAGCCTGACTGTCACACAGTATAGTTACAGGGCCCAGCGTGCTGATGAAGCAGCCACTGAGGTATTGGTATGTGTGGAACAGCCCCGCCACAACAACTGATTCATGGATTCCACGCTCTGCAGAGCCACTGTGATTATCCCAGCACAAGTCAGCTGATCTCAGAGCAGTGTTAACCACGGTGTCATTCTGTGTGTGCTCACTCTTGCCAGCAAAAAATCAGGGCCCTTAATAAACTTAGAGATTGCCATCAAATTTATTTTTCCATCCTGTTCCATGTTAAATTGATTGCATGTCAGACCTACATTATGAGTTACTATGTGTGTTTTAAGGTTTTCTGCACGGGGTCATCCCTGACCAGCGTGTACACACATCCTGTTGCTTAGCACATGTCCCCATCCTGTTTTTCTGTGCCCTCTCATTTTCTCCTCACCTCTGACCTTTAACCTCTCCCACAGCCGAGGACTCATGACAGCAGACCTGTTTTCCTGAGCTACTTCTCAACCACCTACTGTCACAGTTCAGCTGTCTCCTTAGAGATGTATATTTAGAATGCTTAACTCAACAATGCTGAGCCTTGCACCGTTTCCTGTTTGGCAGTGGCAGGACTGAAGGTTAAAAATCCACAAATATCTGACTGGGCTTTTTATGCAGGGTTATTCCTGGCTGTTGGAGATAAAGCTAGAACATGCCTGAGCCTGGCTCATCTTACAGGACAAAAGCCAGTCATTTTTCCAGAGCTCATGTGCACGGTCATTCAGCCAGTCAGCTATACAGAGCTGAATGGTGGATGATGAACAGGGTTGCTGGTAATTGACAGTGATTGTTAATGTGTTTCCCCTCTGTGTCTGTGTGTGTCATCCAGTTGCTACGATGCCCAGGAAGAGCTGCAGGAGTTCCAGGAAGGGAGCCGAGAGCTAGAAGCTGAGCTGGAGGCACAGCTCGGCCAGGCCGAACACCGCCTCAGAGACCTCCAAGTTGAAAACGAGAGACTGAAGAACGAGGTGTCAAACCTCAAGGTAACTGGGCCTGGTGAATTGCCGTGTTGCTTACTTTAGGATTTGGCTTGCTTGTGCGGTCTATGGGTCAGGACATCAATAAAGTCATTTGTGGTTACTTAAGAGGTTATCTGATCTCTGTTGGATCCTGAGGACAAGGTCCAATGTCTTATTTTTATGTTAGGTGTTATTAAGGCATGCTGTTAGGTAATCCTCCAGCACTCTTTAATTGGATTGGAAGAAAATAGAAAACTGCCGGGACAGATTTAGTTTTTAATCACTGCAGGCGTGAACAGGAGTCAGATTCATTCAGTGTGCTTTCGTGTGTGTAGCTGAACAAATTACTGCGCGCACCGTTAACCATGATATTAATTACCACTGTACACAGAGCAGAAAAGTATTTCATACGGCCCAACATGTGATTGCAGCTAAAAACAAACTGTGTGCATGAACAAGAGAGGTCATGAGTCATGCTCTCCTGTCTTGGTGCATCTGGGACCACGATACAGGCGTGCTAACTGTACTGTGAAGCACCACAGCGCCTCCCTGGAGGGGAAAAAGAGGCTCTTTGAAAGCGAAGTAATGTGTAAAAGATGATCTTGACTGTCTTATGATTCACCGGGTTGTAACAACAATAGTGGTACTGTTGTCAAATTAAATGGGATGTTTCTTTTTCCTGGAACTAGACCTGGGTATTTAGGGTATTGACCGGAATAACCAAGTACAAATACCATCAGAAGTTCTCCAGTGAAACGATACCTGCAGTCGACCCCCTAAAATAAAATGACTACTTGTATGGTTTTGTTTGCAGCCAGTTACCACAAGCATTGTTCAGTTTAATGTGACATGATTTGCCCACAACCACAGCAGCTACAAGCCGTAGAGTCTGTGGTGTGGTGAAGCTGAGTGCTGTGTATTTGACAGTGTTGGCAGTTCAGTGTGCAGATATACAACCAAAACATTTGAAAGTACGGCTATGCTACGCGCCCGTGGTGTCTGGTGGCATTTTACATGACTGAATGCTTCCATTCACATGATGGCTATTGAATAAAGCAGAACAAAGACAGGTATCAAATGAAGTACTCTGCTGGTATCTGTGTCACTTAAGGACACTGGTTTTGGTACTGGTATTGTCATTTTTTTTTAAACAATACCCAGCCCTACCTGAAACAACAGATCTGGTTTATGTCCTTGTTTCTCCACACACTCACTCGCAAGCTCTTTTCTCTTCTTCACTCTGTCAGGAGAAGCTGGAGCATCAGTATGCCCAGAGTTATAAACAGATTTCCATGTTGGAGGACGACCTGGGCCAGACACGCAGCATAAAGGAGCAGCTCCACAAATATGTCCGAGAGCTTGAGCAGGCCAACGATGACCTGGAGAGAGCCAAGAGGTCAATATATGAATTATTTTGGAGGGCGCTGAGGTGATGCTAAATTCTAACGGGGTTGTTTTAACAATCGTGCTCTTCAACCTCTACATATATGCAGGGCCACAATAGTGTCTCTGGAGGACTTTGAGGGCCGTTTGAACCAGGCCATTGAGAGAAACGCCTTCCTGGAAAGTGAGCTGGATGAGAAGGAATCTCTTCTTGTGTCTGTGCAGCGGCTGAAAGACGAAGCCCGAGGTAAAGACAGGAATCCATTCTGCCTTTTTGCAGGCAATATGTCATCTGTGTAACAGTCAGAGGAGGAGTTTTTCACGACTTTTTGTCTTCTGCAGATCTGAGACAGGAGCTGGCAGTACGGGAGCGGACCACAGACAGGATGTCAGCCCCCAGCTCCCCCACCTTAGACATCGACAAGATGGATTCAGCAGTACAGGCCTCTTTATCCCTCCCAGCCACGCCTGTGGGAAAGAACATAGAGCACGCCTTCATCAACCCAAAAGGTCAGGATGAATTCATCTCACTCTTTATTACACATGCCAAATGGGAGATTCACTGATATGTATTCTAACGTCGGCTCCTGTCCTCGTGCAGCATTGACCAACGGCTGTGGCAACTCATCCCTCACTCCTTCTGCTAGAATCTCAGCTCTTAATATTGTTGGCGATCTCCTGAGGAAAGTTGGGGTAAATATTAAGCCCTATCTATTTAACACATACTTACATTAATGGAGGCGGAGTGCATCCTCCTGAGCCACAGGAGAAAATTAAAAATGTTTATGATCAGGCTAAATACAGATTGTATTTCCTGCTTTCTGACCAGGCTTTGGAGTCTAAAATCGCTGCATGCAGGAACTTTGCCAAAGACCAGGCAGCAAGGAAAAACTACTGCACAGACAACGGCAAACTCATCAACAGCAACGCCACAAAGTTCTCTCACTCTCTACATACTACTTACTTCGACAAAACGTGAGTCTGTTTCGCTCTTCTTCCTGTGCGTAGTGTATACAGTATATGCGTATTTGTTTCCACCCCGTACGTGCGTCAGTGTTTGCTAATGTAAATGTCCATGTGGCAACTGCAGGACTGTAAATGGACTGGACCCGAGCTCCTTGACCTCCATTGCAACATCCAGAGCCGTGTCTCCACCAGGCATGCTGCCTCTGAGCGTGTGAGGGTTCCTCACACCACATAAACCTCTACTGAAATCACCCAACACAATGTGGGAACGGAGAGGACACTTGAAAGACCATTACATTGTGTGCCAGGTGTGTGTGTGTATGTGTGTGTGTGTGTGTGTGAGAGAGAGAAAGAGTTTGAAAGGAAGAGTGATGTGTGTGTGTTCGGGATTGTGCATTTTTTGAACGTGACGTGTGGAAGAGAGGCTCGACTATACAGTGAACTCGCCTCCAGTTTTGCAGCTCTAAATGCATCTGTGAGTAGGTGCACATATGTCCCTACCACATATTTGCATGTGCCTGAAGCTGTACCGTGCTTGTATGAATGTCAAATGCGTTGCTCTCTAGATGTCAACTCTGAAGTGGCACTGTTATATTCTTAGTTCCACTGAAAACTCCTATCTCCGACAAAAGGTCTTTGGCAGACCACAGCTTCCTCTTAACCTTTGTTTCCTTCTGTATTTTCACTTTAATTGCACAGTTAAGCTAATTTCCATTTAGAATGTATGATATTTAAAAAGGGATGTGTTCATTATTATTAATTTATCTCACAGTACGCTTTAAAATGCAATATTTCTGCTATTTTCTTGCATGTGTGCGTATGTAATGTGGGGTTGGAGAGGTGTAGTTGGACCCCATGTTGATGACTGAAGTGAATGTTGATCGTTCAAAGCCATGTAGCCATAGTGCAGTCGTTCCTCTTTGTCACTGGCTACTTGCTGTTATTAATTTGGAAACAGTCTCCATGTTACAGCTTGGAAATATCAGCTGGTTCTGTCCGCTGGGTTAAACCTGCACTTAAACAAACTGCTCCTCACAGGTTTTGCTGCAGTCGATATTCCTCTGTGACATTTCGAGGAAACAGTTTTGCCTTTTTTTGTGTGTGTGTGTAAATGTTTAATGTATAGGTTTTTTTTAAAATCATGTGACAGGCTCATTTACCTCATTCTGATGTAATGACAGTTATCTGCAGTGGATTCATAATATAAGTAGGTGAATTCGGCTTTATAAAACGCACACAAAAGGATGCTCTAAAGTGAAATGAAACTGAGATAAGGATCCTTTTTGAGACTGTCTGTTAACTTTGGCTGGTGTATGAACTCATGGTCCATCGGGGCCTTTGTGTCATGCAGCATATTTTGCTGCTTCTGTGTTATGTTGTGTGTGTCTTGGATTTTTAGCTGGCTGGATATTGGCACTGTATTCATTTTACATGCCTGTGTCTAAATCCATTTTGCCACATCTCCCCCTTTCACAGATTTTTTTTGCCACCATTTTAAAGCATTATTTCAAGCCTTTAGTATTAATTTTTATTTGATAATACTATATGAGATGTCATTTTGGGCACTCTATGAGCCTGTCACTACAGTGTGTTCTACAGTCAGTGTGTGTATATAGCTTGTAAGGATGGTAATTTTGCATACCACATTTGTACATACTGACATTCGACATTAAGGTCTTATTTATTTCAGATTCTGTATGGCATGTTGAGCTAATGAATGGTTTAAGCCATTGTATTATGATATAAAATTGTTTGTCAAAATTGTTTAAGTAAATAAAGATTGAAATGATAAATATATATGTTGTGTAGTTTGGGTCATGGACTAACACAAGGTTGATTTAATGGACATTTTCCAAACCTCGTAGTCACATCTTATGGCCTTCATTAGTGGATGGAGTTTGTTTTGTTGTCATTTCTATTGTACAGTGTTAAAACTTTTTCTTTTTTTGGGGGGGTAAAATGAAAATAGACGCATTATGATTTAATGGTTGTAGAATAATGACACCATCAGCATTTAGACTGGTTCCCTACAAGCCACAATTTCACCACGCAGTTCTGTATGTCACTGGGTAAGATCTCCCAGGAAAATTAAGTCTTGATTGCGAGCACAAAGGAAGTGCGTCAACAATTACGCAACCGAAACAGGAAGAGGATAGCACTTTTGTTTCCCCAGCAGCTATCAGTAGTAGTTATGAAATAGTATCAACATAAGTTCTTTGCAGATACTATCCCAGTAGTGGAAATGCTTGACGGTGAAACAACAGACTTAACTGGAAAATGCAGTAGTTGCTAGGCTGTGAGGAAAAAGGAAAGCAATCCAGCTATCTTTGCAACAGCAACACCAACAATAATCCCATTTAAAAATGCTGAGGGCTCACATGAGAGAAGTTTCAGTTGGTTGCAATCTGCAACCTCACCACAAGATGCCACTAAATCCTACACACTGAACTGTACACACTTTAAACTGTGTTCAAGGTCAATAATAACACTTCAAGCTCAAAGATGATGTAAGCTCTCTACTATTAAATAAACATTAAAACAAGAAATTAATGAGGAGTGAATATGAGGTAAAAGTAAAAGAAGTTCAAGTAATGGCGATCCAGGAGACGTTAAATGGTCCCAGTTGAGCTCTCAATTAATCCAACACTGCTCGGTTTCTGACTTTTATCCAGCTGATGCACTCAAATACAGTCCATAGGGTCCACACATTTAAAAGCATAATTTCTTCTCCATGTCCTCCTTTAGTATGTTCTTCTTGATCTAGAAAAAAAAGTGGCAGCCATGTTAGTCTCATTGAAATCAACCATAATTCTGCACTGCCTTCTTGATGTTGCTGTTACAGTCGGAGAATTGTACCTTTCCAGAGGCTGTCAGAGGGTAGCTGTCTACAAACATCACATAGTGTGGAATCTTGAAGTAAGAAATCTAGGAAGGAACAACACAAACTGTACTGCTCTGCTCTGTTTTTGAGTATTTTGAGCATTTTTATTTAGCATGTCGCCCACTCTCACCTGGCCTTTGCAGAATGCTTTTATCTCCTCTGCACTGGAGGTCTGGCCCTCCTTCAGCCTGATGCAGGCACACACCTGCTCACCCAGCCTCTCATCTTTCACTCCAACCACCTGGGAAACAGACAGAGAAATACAACACCTAGAATGTAGGTTTAATGTAGTGCAACAAAGTGTATGTTTGCTGTGACTGTTTGGAAGCAATGTAGTTGATCTTTGCTGCCCTCTAGTGGTTTCAAGTCTCACCTGCACCTCCTGTACTTTGGGATGTGTAAAGAGGAACTGCTCTATTTCAGCAGGGTAGATGTTCTCCCCTCCTCTGATGATCATGTCCTTTATGCGTCCTTCAATGCGGCAGTATCCCAGACTGTTCAGACTGGCCGTGTCACTGTGTAGAAGAAAAATCACAGATGCAACATGTCAGCGTCAACCCTTGCTCCTCTAACATGCTTCTATATTTTCTCTATGAGACATTCAGTTTACGTTCTACATACATCGATCAGGTGACAGGTGAAGTCCTTAATAATATATATACAATGTTCTGCTGGTAAAACCCAGGGTCCTGACATCCACTTGTCACTTGACACACACCACCCACACAAACACAATTGCAGACCAATTACATTCCTTCATGGCAACACCACTCCCTGATAGCAGCTCCACTGCCCCAACAGCACAATGCACCATGTTGTAATCTGAAAAACTGCTCAGGAATGGCCGAAGAAATGTCAAAGAGCTCAAGGTGTCTACCTGACCTCTAAATTCCACAGATCCTAATCTGTTTGAGCATCTGTGGAATGTGCCAGAACCAGTGCAATCCATAGAGGCCCCACCTCACAACCCACAAAAAACCTACTGCCAATACCATGGTGTCAGACACTGCAAGACACTCAGTGAGGCCCCACCGTGGCTCAGACTTGATTCTGATCCGTTGAGGCATGGACATAGGAGCTCTGGGGTTCTGGAACATCTCACGGATGCTTGATCGGGTTGGGATCTGGGAAATTTGGAGGCCAGGTCGACACCTTGAAGTCTTTGTCACGTTCCTTTGGCCATTTCTGAGCATGTTTTTGTGGTGTGGCAGGGCACATTGTCCTGCTTGGGGGAGGGCACGGCTATCGGGGAGTGCTTTTTAGGGGATGTACTTGATCTGCAATGGTGTTTCGATGGGTGTTATATGTCAAAGGGCGTCAATATTGATGCCAAGACTCAAGGTCTCCCAGTAAAACATTGTATTGCAACAAAATAATCAATGTTAATCACTTCACCTGTCACTGGTTTTAATGTGGTGACTGATTGGTGTATAGGCTCTTACCCAGTCCTGTACCAGCGGTCTTGGGAGATAACCTCTCTGGTCTTCTCCGGATCGTCCCAGTATCCATGCATCACACAGCTGCCTCTGATCATCAGCTCTCCTGAGGCCCCCAGAGGGACAATCTCCCCAGTAGTAGGGTCCACCACTTTGGCCTGTAGTGAAGACACACAGGTATGAGTCACAGTGTTGTTACAGTGATGTGTAGATAAAAGTTTGTCCACAAAATAAGACATACCTCAGTGTGGTTCATGATGCATCCAACAGTATTTATCTTCAGGTCCTCGTTGTCTTGTGGGAATCCCAGAAATGTAACGGGGCTGTTCTCAGTGGTTCCATAAAAAAACTATTAAAACATGATGCACAAATGTTCACACATGCTGGAAAAGCTATACTGACATTAGTTTAATACAGGACGTACAACCACTTACTGGGAATCCCAGAAATGTTAAGGGACTGTTCTCAGTGGTTCCATAACCTAACTGTTAACACACGATGGACACATGTTCTTATATGTGCTATACTCGTATAAGTATAACACAGCATTATTTAAAAAGGTAAAGGGCATGTAGCCGCTCACCGTTATTTCTTTCATGTTCATGTCTGTTCTCAGTCTTCTCACAATCTCAGGAGGGCATGGAGAACCTGCCATGATGCCTTTAACACAGCAGCACATACATAAAGACGCCTCAAAGGCCTCAAATACATAGTAATTTTTTTTCAGTCTTCAAATCACTCACCAGCTTCAACTGATGACAAATCATATTTGTGTAAATCACTTTGGCTGAGCATGTCGGTGAACATTGTGGGAGTGCCATAGACGACATTGCACCTTGAGTGAAAAAAAACAACAAGAATCGATAAAGGTGCCTGTTACTGTAGATTAAAAGTCATTTAAGTGATGAGCAGCATGCCATACTTTTCACTCTGAATGGCCTCTAGGTTGGCTCGGCTGTTGTAGCCAGTAGAGGGGAAGACCAGTGTGATGCCATGTACTGCCATATTCATCCCTCCCACTACGGAGCCAAAGCAGTGGTACATGGGTACAGGCACACACACTCGCACCTGAGGCTGATAGAAATATAAGATTAGTTACATTTCACGTTGTTTTGGCAAATTAAGAGACAAGTACGGACTTACTCTCCATCCATAACCCATTCGTAGACCCATAAAGTAGGCATTGTTTACAATATTGTAGTGGGAAAGACATGCTCCCTTTGGACTCCCTGTAGTCCCCTGGAACAAATAAACAAGCAACATGATTTGTTTTGAATCACTGTAAGATCATAATGTCAGCCCAAGTTATACAGTACATGTGTGATAGTGTGAAAGATGCTGAAGGTTACTGATGTGAACTGGATGTTGATGGGCTCATCGAAGGACAGTTTACTCTGCAGATCCATCAGCTCTTTGTGGTGTCGACTCTCTCCTGCTTGCATCACATCCTCTACGTTGAGCATCCCTGGCTGTCTGCTATCTGTCACAATCACCATACGCAAGTCTGGCAACCTGGCAGACCCAAAACAGGATTTTTATATTACAGCCACAAAACTATTACTTATATAACGTGAAGTATTTACCGTTGTATACTCCAATAATGACAACAGAGGAAGAACATGTGTTAGATGTGACATTTCTCAGTCAAACCTGGAGCTTCTGATCGTGCCTGTTGGCGCTGTGTCGATCTCTGGGCAGAGCTCCTTCAGCATATCACAGAAATTTTGTGTTTTAAAACGGGTTGGGCAGACCACAGCTTTACACTGGACCTGCATGTGACAAATCAGGTCTTTTGAATGCATGTTCTCACAAAGTTAAAGCATTATTTTCACTGTGAAAAGAGTAAATTGTCAGATGTCATATTTTTGTATCTGACTTTGGTCCAGCAGCACAGTAAGTATGTGATTATCAGTGGTGAAAGAAGCACTCAGATCATTAACTTAAGTGGGAATAGCAGTGCCACAGTGTAGAAATACAAGCCCAATCCTGAATTCAATCTCTTACTTAAGCACAAGCAGTAGAATCTAAATGTACTTAAAGTAAAAAGTTAAAGTTCTCATGCTGAATGGTCCATTTCAGAACAGTGTTAAAGATATTAGTGAATTCTAAGTATTCATGGATAATATGCTTCAGGTGGAGCTTCTGTTTAACTGCATATACTGCCATGTAGCTTTTGAAGTTCACCAAGGTTGACAGCACCACTGATGGTTATGTAAGTATGCTGTTACACAACTCATCCTACCTTCTTTAGAGTAAACTCCACTTCCTTCACCTGATAGGCCGGGTTCAATGACACCTGCACATATAACAACAGTTCAACATCATGCGTATGTATACAGCCCCTAAACACACATCTGCCAGAGGGCTTTATAGTACAAACCATATCTTACACATGATGTATTCTGTACTACATGACTGGATACTACATTACGACATACTATATTTAGACATTAATACCTGTTTACATCAAAAATGACAGAATAGATCCCAGGGCCCCTGAACGGGGTCAATGTCCGGCTCATTGACACTTGACAGCAGAGTGTTTGGTAACACAGAGCACACTGTCTGTTTAACCATGAGGTAGCACAAGTGTAATTTTAAAGGTGTAAATAACAATAAAGTAATAAGATTCAAAATGGGTAACTGACCAGTATAATTCCAACTTTGGCTGAAGCAAACTGGAAAAGGATCCATTCATATGTGTTGGGTCCCCAAACTCCCAGTCTGTCGCCTCTCTTCAGGCCCAAAGCAAGCAGACCTGCAGCCGCCTTGTCAACCTGCACCAATAAAAGTGACATCAATAGCAGATGAAGTGCAAACAGAGGTATATTATACCTCTGTTTGCACTTAATAATCTTTTGTGATTTATTAGACAGTCACCAGTATAAAATGAGTACTGTCTATAGGGAGATACATGTAGGCCCTTGGAAGCAAGAAGCTAAAGGCACAAAATCTAAAACTCACGTCTTGTTGAAACTGTGCAAAGGTTTTCCGGATGCCATCCTGCAGGAAGACCACTGCTTCACGGTCAGGCCAGCGCTGAACTGTGGAGCCCAGGCTCTGGCCTACAGTCAGGGGGAGCAGAGGGATGGTGGAGGTGCCGTGGACATAGCTGGTAGTCAGAGAGGGTTTATGAGGAAGACTGTCCACGTGGAGGGACCTGGCAAACAAAGAATTAGGAAAAGAACAGCAGTCTATTATCGTGCATGGACTTTAATCTGAGCATCACAATTAATATCAATAATCAAGCTCTAAAATTCATTTTCAGACACTTTGAGATTAAACAGTGTTGCTAGTTGATATTTTGATAGTTCACCCTCAGAAATATTGAGAGATCATGGAGACCTTGAAAATTTCAGACCAGAACCAAAATGCTGATGACACTATACACTCATAATTTCTGCTCATTTATCATCACTGATGAACTCCACAATGACGATTACATCATTTTTAAACAGTACTTTGCTGTAAAAATAATTACAACATATGGTAGTTTCTCTTTTACACTGTGCACCTTTCTGCGCGGTGCATGCAAATATTTGCAGGCATGTAGGACTTGACACAACACCAGTCTTATTGCATTATGGGTAATGTCGGCACCGCGTCATGACAAGGAAAAATAATGCATAAAAAAAACTCTGGTTTCTGCTGTGTTTATTTTATGTATTTCATCGCTGTTGACTCGGAAGCTTAGCAATGTACTGCCGCAGTGAAACATATTTTAGCCACCTGAAAAAACCAATATGAAAATAAGTGTATGCTTTATTTGAATATTTTCTCTGCTTTACCTTAGATGCTGTAGGAGAACAGCAACTCCAGTGTTCTGCTAAGTAAAATTACTGTTTTTGTCAATGGAGTCTGAAGGCTCCAAGATAACGGCTTCCCCTTCAGAACAGACTGACAGACAGCAAGGTAAGGCGGTTTAAAAATTCTTATTATAGCATACATTTAAACTGATATTTCATTTTTTAAGTGGGCCTTTTTTATGTGTCTAAAAACGAACCAGTAGAGGCAGCATTTTCCACCTTCCTCTACGACATGAAGCTCATCAGTAAGGATAACGTGATGAGTGATACAGTGCTAACAATGGTAACAACACTGGAGAGTGGTTGCTATGCTTTTGCAATGCTGCTGTTGCTTTTGTCAGCGCTAACCGCTTGTAACCACTGTATGAGCACAATGAGGAGTGGCACTGATTAGCTAGCCAGCGGGACACAAACACAGGGACTCATATGCACTTACAAACATACAAATGCTAACATGCATGTGCAGCTGGACCATCTTCCACAAAAATTATAAGAGAAGCTCAGATTAAAACACAGAGAGGGAGCGTGACTACATTCTCTACTCTGCATACTCCACTATGGCAAACAGTGGTTTGCTGCAATATCAATGCTCTGAATGTCTATACAGCTCCTTTACTAATATGGATTGTCTCTATTAGAAAAAAAGTCAAAGGCCTTTGCTCTTGAATTGAGAAATTCTTATGTATAAGATATGAATATTAACATACCAACAGTCAGCAAATGAGAAATACAGGCAGACAAGGGCACACTGAAGGTTACAGGGTTAAAGTCTTAGGTAACCAGCTGTTTAATTTGATCCTTCAGGCTAAATGTGAAGAACTCAATAAGGCACAGACTGTGTCTAACACCCTACTGTTTGTCTTTCAGTCATTAACTGAAAACCAGATTGATGTATATCTCACCATGATCTTTATGCTTTAACTATTATAGACTTACATGGAACACAAACATTGTAAAGTGACACCATGTTGCCATTTGACCACTGAGGAACATAAACTCACCGACACCACTGGAGCAAACTTATGCTGCATAATTTCCAAGCCTTGCCATGTTTGAGTCCATCCACGCGTCTGAGACTGTGAGCACAGGATCTTAGCAGTGCTGACATTGCTCTGACAGTCTGTTTCAACTGGACCTAAACACTGGTTATACTGGCCTTACCTGCCTATCTAAAGCACATGTTACTGTTAACTTTCACTCATCCTCATTGGCTGAAAGCCAATTGGCCATGTCAAACACATTTCCGCACACTCTAAGAAAGCGTTAACTATAAATAACCCATATCAATCATTAACCAGTACTGAGAAGGACAGACAGAAAGGGCTCCAACAAGGTTTCACACCATTCATCCTCCTGACACACTAGTAGCGTGAGCAGCAAGAGATTTATAATGTCTGCACTCAAAAAGCAAGAGACAAAGAGCTGTCAACAAACCTGAGCCACTAAGAAAGAAGAAAAAAAGCAGGCATTACACTCCGTTTATACAAACATATGCTTATATTTATTAAACCATCACACTCACACTTAACCTGTTAACACCGTCTTGGACAGTAGTACGGAAACATTGTCCCAAATTTATAGGCTAGGGAGAAAATAGCAGAAATATCCCATAATACTCATTTATGTTTAAATGCAGAGGCAGAAAATTTGCTGTAGTATTTTAAAATACTGTGTGACTCTGTTTAAATCTTGCTTGTAGAAATTCTGTTTGAAGTCAAACTGATTTTAACAATTTTAATAAAAACATCATGATAAAATGCGCAAATATTTACATACTGAACAAATAGTTGGTTTGAATTATTACAGCTTGACATGATGGAGCCTGCAGTGCCACCTACAGGCAAGGAGTTACTCAGACAAAATTAAAGGCTTAATTTCTTCTCAATTTCCTCCTTTAATACATTCTTCTTCACCTGTTAAAACAAAAAGCAGCAGCCATTTCAGTCTCACTGTAGTAATCAACCACATTTCAGCGCTGCCATCTTAATAGTTAGGTTGCTGGTGTCAAATCAAAAGTGTCGTACCTTTCTTAAAGCTGTCAGAGGGTAGCTGTCTACGAACATCACATAGTGTGGGATCTTGAAGTGAGAAATCTAGGAAGAAACAACACAAACTGAACAGCTGTACTTTGATTATAAGTATGATGAGATATTTTATATATAAAATAAACTACTCTCACCTGGCCTTTGCAGAATGCTCTTATCTCCTCTGCACTGGAGGTCTGGCCCTCCTTCAGCCTGATGCAGGCACACACCTGCTCACCCAGCCTCTCATCTTTCACTCCAACCACCTGGGAAACAGACAGAGAAATACAACAACTAGAATGTAGCTCTTTAGTAAAACAATGATTATATTCTTGTGAAATTAACGATGAAAAGAACGTCTACAATTGAAAGTTTGGCTTCTAGGTGTATCTTTGCTGTCAGCTGTTCAGAGACAATGTCTCTGATCTTTGCTGCCCTCTAGTGGTTACAAGTCTCACCTGCACGTCCTGTACTTTGGGATGTGTATAGAGAAACTGCTCTATCTCAGCAGGGTAGATGTTCTCCCCTCCTCTGATGATCATGTCCTTTATGCGTCCTTCAATGCGGCAGTATCCCAGACTGTTCAGACTGGCCGTGTCACTGTGTAAAAGAAAAATCACAGATATAACATGTCAGCATCAACCCCTGTTCCTTTAACATGACTCTGTATTTTCTCTCTGAGACATTCAGTGTACATGGTATGTACATCAATCAGGTGACAGGTGAATTGAATAACATTGATTATCATGTTATAATGCAGTGTTCTGCTGGCAAAGCCCTGGGTCTTGACATTAATGTGGATGCCACTTGACAAAGCACCACCCTCACAAACACCAATGCAGACCCTTCACCTGTCACTGGTTCCATTGTAGCTGATCACTGTATAGGATCTTACCCAGTCCTGTACCAGCGGTCTTGGGAGATAACCTCTCTGGTCCTCTCAGGATCGTCCCAGTATCCATGCATCACACAGCTGCCTCTGATCATCAGCTCTCCTGAGGCCCCCAGAGGGACAATCTCCCCAGTAGTAGGGTCCACCACTTTGGCCTGTAGTGAAGACACACAGGTATGAGTCACAGTGATGTGTTATGGTGACGTGTAGATAATAGCTCATAAAATGGGGTGTACCTCAGTGTGGTTCATGATGCATCCAACAGTATTTATCTTCAGGTCCTCGTTGTCTTGTGGGAATCCCAGAAATGTAACGGGGCTGTTCTCAGTGGTTCCATAAATACACTATTAAAACATGATGCACACATGTTCACACATGCTGGAAAAGCTATACTGACATTAGTTTAATACAGGACGTACAACCACTTACTGGGAATCCCAGAAATGTTAAGGGACTGTTCTCAGTGGTTCCATAACCTAACTGTTAAAACATGATGCACACATGTTCTCATATGAGAAGATATACTCGTATAAGTTTTATATGGGACATAAAACCTCTCACCGTTATTTCTTTCATGTTCATGTCTGTTCTCAGTCTTCTCACAATCTGAGGAGGGCATGGAGAACCTCCCATGAGACCTAAAACACAGCAGCACTTATTGAAAAGCTTGCTAAACACCAATCTAAATACAACACAGTCTTCAAATCACTCACCAGCTTCAACTGATGACAAATCGTACTTGTGTAAATCTGGTTGGCTGAGCATGTCAGTGTACATTGTGGGAGTGCCATAGACAAAATTGCACCTTCAGTGAGAAAAGTAAGAATCAATTAAGTTGCATAATGTTGTTTATTTGATAGTCATTTAGGTGATGAGCAGCATGCCATACTTTTCACTCTGAATGGCCTCTAGGTTGGCTCGGCTGTTGTAGCCAGGGGAAGGGAAGACCAGTGTGATGCCATGTACTGCCATACTCATCCCTCCAGCCACAGAGCCAAAGCAGTGGTACATGGGTACAGGCACACACACTCGCACCTGAGGCTGATAGAAATATGGCCTTTAAGATTAATTACACTTTCACTACCTGCGTTTTCTTTAAGTCAAAAGACAAATATGGTCTTACTCTCCAGTCATAACCCATTCGAAGACCCAAAAAATAAGCATTGTTTACAATGTTGTGGTGGGAAAGACATGCTCCCTTTGGACTCCCTGTAGACCCCTGGAACAAATAAACAAGCAACATGATTTGTTTTGAATCACTGTAAGATCATAATGTCAGCCCAAGTTATACAGTACATGTGTGATAGTGTGAAAGATGCTGAAGGTTACTGATGTGAACTGGATGTTGATGGGCTCATCGAAGGACAGTTTACTCTGCAGATCCATCAGCTCTTTGTGGTGTCGACTCTCTCCTGCTTGCATCACATCCTCTACGTTGAGCATCCCTGGCTGTCTGCTATCTGTCACAATCACCATACGCAAGTCTGGCAACCTGGCAGACCCAAAACAGGATATCCACTGTACCATTAACTGTAGATTGTGTGTTAAATATTTACAGATTCTTGCTCCCAAAACGAGAATACAGGAAGAATATGCGTTACATGTGACATTTCTCATTGGCTCAGTCAAACCTGGAGCTTTTGATTGCGCCTGTTGGAGCTGTGTCGATCTCTGGGCAGAGCTCCCTCAGCATCTCACAGAAACTTTGGGTTTTAAAGTGAGTTGGGCAGACCACAGCTTTACACTGGACCTGCATGTGACAAATCAAGTCTGTTGAATTTATATTCTTGCAGAGTTATATATAAGTATAGTTTTTTTCTATGAAAATACATGTAGTTCTCTCATGTGGTGGAAGTCTCAGGTCTTTTACTTAAGTAAAATGTAGTAAATGTAGCAATACCGCAGTGTAGAAATACTACACAATAGTATTTCATTCAAAATACTAAAGCAAAAACTTATATGCTGTATGACTCATTTCAGAGAAACATGTATTGTCTATTTATATTTTGTATTATTAATATGAACCTGAAAAATAACTTGAAACTGCAGGTATAAAATAAATGTAGTGGAGTAAGTGTAAAGTAGCAAAAAACTGAAATACAGGACGGTACAAGTTCCTCAAATGAATGTACTTAGTTACTACCTTCTTTAGAGTAAACTCCACTTCCTTCACCTGATAGGCCTGGTTCAATGGCACCTGCACATATAACAACAGTTTCACGGCAAATTTACGGTACATGCAACCCTTCAACATACATTTTTCACAGTTTCACGTCAAGTCTATGTATACAACCCCTCAACACATTTTTCAAAGGACGTTATAGTACATGCCATACCTTACACATGATATATTCTGCACTACATGATTAAACTGTAGTATTATTATTATTATTATTATTGGTGGGAAATTATAACAGAGGAATATATTTGCCATTTTAATATCAAGAACACTTTCATGTTTTGTGTATACAGGACGTTGTTGAATCAGGGAATCCGTGTGGACACCACGAAAAAGGATCCTAATTGACTTTACATTGGCATTGTTTCCATGGTGGCAGCACGTAATTTCAACCCATTACGTGCTGCCACCACGGAATGCAGTGTTAAGAGGTCGTGCTCATTTCACGTATTTCTGTGAGATCAGGTTGCATAAAGGATCAGCCTGTGATTTCAAAGTGTACTTTCTACTTTTAGTGGGATTTTGAATCCAGCCATCAGATGGTTAATGATTTTGGTTTTCACTGACTGTTGTTGTGTAATTTTGTTCTCAACAAATCATACAATGCACATCAGTAAAGATTTTCAACTTAAATAATACATTCATCAAGATTCATCTGATGTGTGATTTAAGAGTTCCCTTAGTGTCATACTGTACATAGATATAAATACTTAATTCTTTTACAACAACAGAGTAGCTCTCCAGGGCCTCTGATAGGGGTCAATGTCTTGCTCACTGACACTTGACAGCAGGGTGTTTGGGAACACAGAGCACAAACTTTAACCAAGAGATTAAACTGTAAATCTGTAAACACCTCCCATACTGACCAGTATAATTCCAGCTTTGGCTGAAGCAAACTGGAAAAGGATCCATTCATACGTGTTAGGTCCCCAAACTCCCAGTCTGTCGCCTCTCTTCAGGCCCAAAGCAAGCAGACCTGCAGCTGCTTTGTCAACCTGCATCACAACAGCAGATATTTTGTCACCACAGTAATCATTCTTTAAATCATGGATAGTTTTTAGGGGTTAATACATGCATAAAGTCACAAAATATCAAACAGACATCTTGTTGAAACTGTGCAAAGGTTTTCTGGATGCCGTCCTGCAGGAAGACCACAGCTTCACGGTCAGGCCAGCGCTGCACTGTGGAGTCCAGGCACTGGCCTACAGTCAGGGGGAGCAGAGGGATGGTGGAGGTGCCATGGACATAGCTGGTAGTCAGAGAGGGTTTGTTGGGAGGAGTGTCCACATGGAGGGACCTGGCATACAAAGAATTAGGAAAGCACAAGTGTATCACACCAAGTAGGAGCCACTGTTTCAGTGCACTGATAATAACCCTTAAAGCTGACAATACATTATATAGAAAATCAGTCTGTGCTTATTATAGTCATGACCATTGAGTTTTCTCTTTTGTAAAACAAAATTATTCTCCAAACTTTCCAGTACGTTGGGTCACCGTGAACTCAGAAATATTCAGTTGAATTCGTAGCAGAGGTGGCATAACCTACAAGTACAGCATACGAGTAAAAGAATATGTTTTTCTAAGAAACGAGTAATTTTCATGTTCCTTTTTTGAACTGTAGCCCACCAGAACAAGAAGCATCTTCCAGTGTCTGTAATACTGTTTTTAAAATCACTGACCGACAACCAATTCTATGTTCTGATCTTTGTCACTTGGTTTCAATGCATCTTCAATAAGTATTTGAGTAAAACCATGTTGCCATTTGACCACTAAACATAAAAAGCTTTGAACTCACCGACACCACTGGAGCAGACCTGTGCTGCATAATTTCCAAGCTTTGCTGTGTTTGAGTCCATCCACAGATCTGAGACTGTGAGCACAGGATCTTAACAGTGCTGACATTGCTCCTAAGTATCAAACAGTCTGTTACAGCTGGATCTAAACACTCTCTGGTGAGAAGATACTTGGTCCTAACAACAAATATGCTCTTTTTTTCCTGCCTTTCTTGAGTTGAAATTTACCTCTCATGTGTAATCTTTAACTTCCACTCATTCTCACTGGCTACAAGCCAGTTGTCAATTTAGAAAGATGTATACTGTCTGCACTAAAAAAGCCAAAGACAAGGAGCTGATAACAAACATGAGCCACCAGGACAGAAAGAGGCTGGCACTACACATCAGTATATTTAATAATAACAATAATAATAATAATAAACTGATATGCACCTTACATACAATAAATGCAGCACAGAGTTCTCTACAATGAGTGCATTATAAGCACTGAGTGCTTCACATGAAAATAGACATAGTGGACATAAAACAGACAAGGCAATTTAATATTAAAGGACATTTAAAAACAGTTTAAAACATGGATTGACTGATTCATAAAATCATAGATTTGTAAAACTATAAATCATAAAATCCAGTAAGATTCTAAAAGAGTTGCAGCAGCGTAAAGCGTAAATACAAAGTGGAAATTTATTGAAACATCTTTATCATTTTGTCTAACAAATTGACACAGAAATATTTCAGAGATGAACAATATAATGCCTAACCCTTGTCAACTTGACTTGGTAGCACAGAAATTGTATTGCACATTGCATCTGTTCCTGAGTTATGGTGCTAAATAATGGCCAGAAAAGTTACATTATGATGCCACAGTGAAGCTGACCTTTGACCTTTGGATATAGAATGTCATCACTTCATTATTTTATGCTATTAGACATATGTGTGACATTTTGTCATAATTACATATACATTCTTGAGATATGGCTAAAACATGTTGTGTTATGCTACAAATGTCTGACAGGATAAAATGATAAAGTGATGACATTTTTTTATTCAAAAGGTTGATAATCACAAACTGAACAAAATGTTGGTTTGAATGGTTACAGCTTCACATGATGGAGCCTGCAGTGCCACCTACAGGCCATGGGATACTTTTTCCTGTGAACACGCAGATCCATGCCAAGTAGGACATGGATCAAGCATCCCACAGTGCAATCCAGGACCAACATTGCTATCAACCAGTCACGGCCCTCTAAAATCATCAGTGTGCTGCGCCCGTGCTTCTTTTAAAATTCTTTGAGCTTCTTCAGAGCTAAGCTACGTTAACAAAGTAGAAGTTAGGACAAATGAAAAAAATCCTTATGAGGATTAGCTAGATGAGTTAGCTTGCTAACAAGGGAGGCTATGCTAACAAGTAAGCTTCCCAATAAGCTAGAATATTGTTTTAAGCTTAGTCGTTAGCATAGCCTACCTAGTTAGCAAGCTAACTTGCTAATCCTGCAGTAGTTTATGAGGTTTTTGTCCGGTGTTACTGAGAATTTTGTTCAATTGGACAAACTTAATCTTGGAAAACTTGGTTGAGCTCGGAGCAGCACAGTAATGATGTCAGAGGGCTGTTTATGGGTAGTTGCAGTGTTGGTCCAGGAACGCACTGTGAGATGTTGATCTAGGAGCATGTCCTACTTGGTTCAATCACATCATGCAAAAGGACACCCCTTGTTAATATAATTAACAGTTTTTCCACTAAAACAACATCAATGGAATAATTTCTTTTCCATTTCTTCCTTCAGTATGTTCTTCTTGACCTAAGAAGACAAAAAGCAGCAGCCATTTCAGTCTCACTGTAGTAATCAACCATATCTTACCACTGCCATCTTAATAGTTAGGTTGTTGGTGTCAAATCAAAAGTGTGTACCTTTCTTATAGCTGTCAGAGGGTAACTGTCTACGAACATCACATAGTGTGGGATCTTGAAGTGAGAAATCTAGGAAGAAACAACACAAACTGAACAGCTGTACTTTGATTATGTGTATGCTGGGATATTTTGTGTATTATATCATCTGCTCTCACCTGGCCTTTGCAGAATGCTCTTATCTCCTCTGCACTGGAGGTCTGGCCTTCCTTCAGCCTGATGCAGGCACACACCTGCTCACCCAGCCTCTCATCTTTCACTCCAACCACCTGGGAAACAGACAGAGAAATACAACAACTAAAATGTAGATTTAATGTCTCAGCTCTTTAGTAAAACAATGATTATATTCTTGTGAAATTAACGATGAAAAGAACGTCTACAATCGAAAGTTTGGCTTCTAGGTGTATCTTTGCTGTCAGCTGTTCAGAGACAATGTCTCTGATCTTTGCTGCACTCTAGTGGTTCCAAGTCTCACCTGCACGTCCTGTACTTTGGGATGTGTATAGAGAAACTGCTCTATCTCAGCAGGGTAGATGTTCTCCCCTCCTCTGATGATCATGTCCTTTATGCGTCCTTCAATGCGGCAGTATCCCAGACTAGACTGTACTTAGTTACTACCTTCTTTAGAGTAAACTCCACTTCCTTCACCTGATAGGCCTGGTTCAATGGCACCTGCACATATAACAACAGTTTCACGGCAAATTTACGGTACATGCAACCCTTCAACATACATTTTTCACAGTTTCACGTCAAGTCTATGTATACAACCCCTCAACACATTTTTCAAAGGACGTTATAGTACATGCCATACCTTACACATGATATATTCTGCACTACATGATTAAACTGTAGTATTATTATTATTATTATTGGTGGTGGGAAATTATAACAGAGGAATATATTTGCCATTTTAATATCAAGAACACTTTCATGTTTTGTGTATACAGGACGTTGTTGAATCAGGGAATCCGTGTGGACACCACGAAAAAGGATCCTAATTGACTTTACATTGGCATTGTTTCCATGGTGGCAGCACGTAATTTCAACCCATTACGTGCTGCCACCACGGAATGCGGTGTTAAGAGGTCGTGCTCATTTCACGTATTTCTGTGAGATCAGGTTGCATAAAGGATCAGCCTGTGATTTCAAAGTGTACTTTCTACTTTTAGTGGGATTTTGAATCCAGCCATCAGTTGGTTAATGATTTTGGTTTTCAATGACTGGTGTTATGCCATTTTGTTCTCAACAAATCATACAATGCACATCAGTAAAGATTTTCAACTTAAATAATGTATTGATCAATATCTGATGTGTGATTTAAGAGTTCCTTTAGTGTCATACTGTATATAGATATAAATACTTATTTCTTTTACAACAACAGAGTAGCTCTCCAGGGCCTCTGATAGGGGTCAATGTCCTGCTCACTGACACTTTACAGCAGGGTGTTTGGGAACACAGAGCACACTCTTTAACCACAAGATTAAACTGTAAATCTGTAAACACCTCCCATACTGACCAGTATAATTCCAGCTTTGGCTGAAGCAAACTGGAAAAGGATCCATTCATACGTGTTAGGTCCCCAAACTCCCAGTCTGTCGCCTCTCTTCAGGCCCAAAGCAAGCAGACCTGCAGCTGCTTTGTCAACCTGCATCACAACAGCAGATATTTTGTCACCACAGTAATCATTCTTCAGATCATGGATAGTTTTTAAACATGCATAAAGGCACCGAATCTAAAACCGACATCTTGTTGAAACTGTGCAAAGGTTTTCTGGATGCCGTCCTGCAGGAAGACCACAGCTTCACGGTCAGGCCAGCGCTGCACTGTGGAGTCCAGGCACTGGCCTACAGTCAGGGGGAGCAGAGGGATGGTGGAGGTGCCATGGACATAGCTGGTAGTCAGAGAGGGTTTGTTGGGAGGAGTGTCCACATGGAGGGACCTGGCATACAAAGAATTAGGAAAGCACAGGTGTTTCACACCAGGAAGGAGCCACTGTTTCAGTGCACTGATACTGATAATAACCCTTAAAGCTGACAAAACATTGTATAGAAAAACAGTCTGTGCTTATTTTTGTCAATAAAGTCATGATCATTGAGTTTTCTCTTTTGTAATAAAAATGAATCTCCACATTTTCCAGTACGTTGGGTCACCGTGAACTCAGAAATATTCAGTTGAATTCGTAGCAGAGGTGGCATAACCTACAAGTACAGCACACGAGTAAAGGAATATGTTTTTCTAAGAAACAAGTAATTTTCATGTTCCTTTTTTGAACTGTAGCCCACCAGAACAAAAAGCATCTTCCAGCATCAGTCCCTGCCCCAAATTGGCCGCACTTTTCATACCAATACTCCAATCGACTACTGCACACGTTCAGTAGGCAGCATACCCCAAAGTTAACCCAGTTGTTGAGCATTTCTCACTGGACTGAATCAGCACCAATGAGGTAACAGTTACCCCAACCTTTCACCTTTGACCTTTCACCTTTGATCCAATCAATTCATTGCTGAGTCCCAGTGGACTTTGTGCCAAATTTGAAGAAAGTCCCTCAAGGCATTCTTGATATATTGCATTGATGGATGTATGTATGTACATATGGACATAATGCCTCATTCAACATCTTTCACTGACACAGAGGCATAAAAGCTGTCCATTCTGAGTCAGCCGGTGTTATGCAAACAATTGTTGAATTTCTTTGCCATTAGTCCTAATGCATTGTCTCAATATAAGACCTGGCTCTGGAAGATGAACTGAATATTTATTGCCTGAAATTTATACCTAGATGATAATACTGCTTATCAACAGTTTGCAAATGAGAAATACAGGCAGTCAGGGGCACACTGAAGGTTAAAATGTTAAATGACAACCAGCTGTTTAATTTGACCTCCTCCTGGCTAAAAGTGATGGACCCAGTGAGATTAGTATTGTCTGTAATAATGTTTTTTAAACCACTGACTGAAAACCAATTCTATGTTTAGATCTTTGTCACTTGATTTCAAAGCATCTTCAATAAGTATTTGAGTAAAACCATGTTGCCATTTGACCACTAAACATAAAAAGCTTTGAACTCACCGACACCACTGGAGCAGACCTGTGCTGGGTAATTTCCAAGCTTTGCTGTGTTTGAGTCCATCCACAGATCTGAGACTGTGAGCACAGGATCTTAACAGTGCTGACATTGCTCCTAAGTATCAAACAGTCTGTTACAGCTGGATCTAAACACTCTCTGGTGAGAAGATACTTGGTCCTAACAACAAATATGCTCTTTTTTTCCCGCCTTTCTTGAGTTGAAATTTACCTCTCATGTGTAATCTTTAACTTCCACTCATTCTCACTGGCTACAAGCCAGTTGTCAGTTTAGAAAGATGTATACTGTCTGCACTAAAAAAGCCAAAGACAAGGAGCTGATAACAAACATTAGCCACCAGGACAGAAAGAGGCTGGCACTACACATCAGTATATTTAATAATAACAATAATAATAATAATAAACTGATATATATGCACCTTACATACAATAAATGCAGCACAGAGTTCTCTACAATGAGCGCATTATAAGCACTGAGTGCTTCACATGAAAATAGACATAGTGGACATAAAACAGACAAGGCAATTTAATATTAAAGGACATTTAAAAACAGTTTAAAACATGGATTGACTGATTCATAAAATCATAGATTTGTAAAACTATAAATCATAAAATCCAGTAAGATTCTAAAAGAGTTGCAGCAGCGTAAAGCGTAAATACAAAGTGGAAATTTATTGAAACATCTTTATCATTTTGTCTAACAAATTGACACAGAAATATTTCAGAGATGAACAATATAATGCCTAACCCTTGTCAACTTGACTTGGTAGCACAGAAATTGTATTGCACATTGCATCTGTTCCTGAGTTATGGTGCTAAATAATGGCCAGAAAAGTTACATTATGATGCCACAGTGAAGCTGACCTTTGACCTTTTGGATATAGAATGTCATCACTTCATTATTTTATGCTATTAGACATATGTGTGACATTTTGTCATAATTACATATACATTCTTGAGATATGGCTAAAACATGTTGTGTTATGCTACAAATGTCTGACAGGATAAAATGATAAAGTGATGACATTTTTTTATTCAAAAGGTTGATAATCACAAACTGAACAAAATGTTGGTTTGAATGATTACAGCTTCACATGATGGAGCCTGCAGTGCCACCTACAGGCCATGGGATACTTATTCCTGTGAACACGCAGATCAATGCCAAGTAGGACATGGATCAAGCATCCCACAGTGCAATACAGGACCAACATTGCTATCAACCAATCACGGCCCTCTAAAATCATCAGTGTGCTGCGCCCGTGCTTCTTTTAAAATTCTTTGAGCTTCTTCAGAGCTAAGCTACGTTAACAAAGTAGAAGTTAGGACAAATGAAAAAAATCCTTATGAGGATTAGCTAGATGAGTTAGCTTGCTAACAAGGGAGGCTATGCTAACAAGTAAGCTTCCCAATAAGCTAGAATATTGTTCACTAACATTAAAGAGTGAGGATAATATCATTTTTCAGTAGCAAAGTCCTGTGATTAACATAGTTTCCCTCCTTTTTTTATAACATATTCAGACTTTTTTGCAAGATTGCAGTGCTATTGTTGATCCAGGACCACACTGCCATGTTGACTCTGGATAGTTTGTTTATATCAACAAGAACATAGCAGAGATGGTCCTGGATCAACACTAGCACTGTAATCTTGCAGAAAAAAAAGAAAGAATTTATTGAATAGGCTTTAAAAAGAAGGGAAAATAATGTGTATTGTGAGTCTTTGCAACCACAAAATTATATTATCTTTAGTCTTAATGTTAGTGAAAAATGCAATCACATCATGCAAAAGGACACCCCTCATTAATATAATGAACAGTTTTTCCACAAAAACAACATCAGTGGAATAATTTCTTTTCCATTTCTTCCTTCAGTATGTTCTTCTTGACCTAAGAAGACAAAAAGCAGCAGCCATTTCAGTCTCACTGTAGTAATCAACCATATTTTACCGCTGCCATCTTAATAGTTAGGTTGTTGGTGTCAGATCAAAAGTGTGTACCTTTCTTACAGCTGTCAGAGGGTAACTGTCTACGAACATCACATAGTGTGGGATCTTGAAGTGAGAAATCTAGGAAGAAACAACACAAACTGAACAGCTGTGCTTTGATTATGAGTATGCTGGGATATTGTATTAAATCACCTACTCTCACCTGGCCTTTGCAGAATGCTCTTATCTCCTCTGCACTGGAGGTCTGGCCCTCCTTCAGCCTGATGCAGGCACACACCTGCTCACCCAGCCTCTCATCTTTCACTCCAACCACCTGGGAAACAGACAGAGAAATACAACAACTAGAGAAAGTTTGGCTTCAAAGTGTATTTTTGCTGTTCAGAGACAATGTATCTGATCTTTGCTTCCATCTAGTGGTTTCAAGTCTCACCTGCACCTCCTGAACTTTGGGATGTGTAGCAAGGAACTGCTCTATCTCAGCAGGGTAGATGTTCTCCCCTCCTCGGATGATCGTGTCCTTTATGCGTCCTTCAATGCGGCAGTATCCCAGACTGTTCAGACTGGCCGTGTCACTGTGTAGAAGAAGAAAAAAACAAAACACAACATATAATGGAGTGCTGAATGAAAAAAGTAGGTTACATTAACTGTTAACAATGTGTTTATGTAAAAAAAAACAAAAAACTGACAAATCTAAATATTAAATGTAATTCTAAATGTGAAATCTTCAAGGGGAACACCACCCAAAGAAAGAATTCCAGTATGTTATTTCCATGGCCAAGGAAAGTTGAATCAGGAAAAATCAGCTAAATGTGAGATGAGTGAGCTTAAGATTAGAAATATATCAGATAATTGTAACTGAATTTCTAAATTTCACACTCTGTCACATGTAATATACAATATTTCCCACCTGAGCATGAATCCTTGTATTTACTTTTTTAATACCCATCAGCGCACATGGTACATGTAGGATCTTACCCAGTCCTGTACCAGCGGTCTTGGGAGATAACCTCTCTGGTCTTTTCCGGATCGTCCCAGTATCCATGCATCACACAGCTGCCTCTGATCATCAGCTCTCCTGAGGCCCCCAGAGGGACAATCTCCCCAGTAGTAGGGTCCACCACTTTGGCCTATAATGAAGACACACCAGCACACTAAATCACAGTATAGTTATGGTGATGTGTAGATAAAGGTTTGTCCAACAAATAAGACATGCCTCAGTGTGGTTCATGATGCATCCAACAGTATTTATCTTCAGGTCCTCTTCATCTTGTGGGAATCCCAGAAATGTTACGGGGCTGTTCTCAGTGGTTCCATAAGCTAACTATTAAAACATGATGCACATGTGTTCACACATGCTGGAAAAGCTATACTGACATTAGTTTAATACAGGACGTACAACCACTTACCATTATGCCTTTCACGTTCATGTCTGTTTTCAATCTTCTCGCAACCTCAGGAGGACATGGAGAACCTCCCATGAGGCCTAAAACACAGCAACACTTAGGTAAAAGCTTGCTAAACACCACACCTGTTCCAATACAACACAGTAATTATGTTTTAAAATCACTTACCAATTTCAACTGATGACACATCATACTTGTGTAAATCTGGTTGGCTGAGCATGTCAATGTACATTGTGGGAGTGCCATAGAAGACACTGCACCTTGAGCAAAAAACAAGAATCAATTAAGTTGCATAATGTTGTTTAATTGATAGTCATTTAGGTGATGAGCAGCACGCCGTACTTTTCACTCTGAATGGCCTCTAGGTTGGCTCGGCTGTTGTAGCCAGGGGAAGGGAAGACCAGTGTGATGCCATGTACTGCCATACAAATCCCTCCAGCTACAGTACCAAAGGTGTGGTGCATGGGTGCGGGAATGCACACTCGCACCTGAGGCTGATAGAAATGTGGAAAATAAGATTTATTACATTTCACTACCTGCATTTTCTTTATATCAAAAGACAAATATGGTCTTACTCTCCAGTCATAACCAAGTCGAAGACCCAAAAAATAAGCATTGTTTACGATGTTGTGGTGGGAAAGACATGCTGCCTTTGGACTCCCTGTAGTCCCCTGGAACAAATAAACAAGCATCATTTTCCAGTCAAGTTATACAAGGTATACAGTGCATGTGTAACAGTGTGAAAGATGCTGAAGGTTACTGATGTGAACTGGATGTTGATGGGCTCATCGAAGGACAGTTTACTCTGCAGATCCATCAGCTCTTTGTGGTGTCGACTCTCTCCTGCTTGCATCACATCCTCTACGTGGAGCATCCCTGGCTGTCTGCTATCTGTCACAATCACCATTCGCAAGTCTGGCAACCTGGCAGACCAAGGACAGGTTATATTACATTCACAGCACCATTAACTGTAGACAATGTGTGAAGTATTTACAGAGTCTTGCTTGCACAATAACAACAGAAGAAGAACATGTGTTAAATGTGACATTTCTCATTGACTGTCAAACCTGGTGCTTTTGATCGTGCCTGTTGGCTCTGTGTCGATCTCTGGGCAGAGCTCCCTCAGCATCTCACAGAAATTTTGGGTTTTAAAGTGACTTGGGCAGACTACAGCTTTACACTGGACCTGCATGTGGCAGATCAAGTCTGCTGAATGTATATTCTCAAACAGTACTATATAAGGATTATTTTTTCTGAGAAAATACATGTGGTTCTCACTGGTGGAAGAAGTACTCAGACATTTTACCGAAGTAAATGTAGCAATGTCACAGTGTAGAAACACTCTGTTACTAGTAAAAGTCCTGCATTCTAAAATAATACTTCACTTAAAGTACTAAAGTAAAACTCATATGGTGTATGACCCATTTCAGAGAAACATGTTTTGTCTATCTATATTTTTATTATCAATTTGAACCTAAACATTAACTAAAAACTAAAGGTATAAAATAAAGGAAGTGAAGTAAACAACATAGTACAATATTTGCCTCTAAATTATAATGTAGAAGAAGTATAAAGTAGCAAAAAAAAAAAAAAACAACTCAAGTACAGTACAGGTACCTGGAGTGAATGTACTTAGTTACTACCTTCTTTAGAGTAAACTCCACTTCCTTCACCTGATAGGCCGGGTTCAATGACACCTGCACATATAACAACAGTTTCACGACAAATATACATGCAACCCTTCAACATACATTTTTCAAAGGGCTTTGAAGTAAATACCATGTCTTACACATGATACATTCTGCACTGCATGGCTGAATGCCATATTACAACATACTGCATATAGAAAGAAGTAAAGATTTTCAACTTAAATAATGTATTCATCAAGATCATCAAGAGTTCCCTTAGTGTCATACTGTATATAGAAATAAATACTTATTTCTTTTACAACAACAGAGTAGCTCTCCAGGGCCCCTGATGAGGGTCAATGTCCTGCTCACTGACACTTTACAGCAGGGTGTTTGGGAACACAGAGCACACTGTTAAACCACAAGATTAAACTGTAAATCTAATTTCAAATCTGTAAACAACTCTGATACTGACCATTATAATTCCAGCTTTGGCTGACGCATATTGGAAAAGGATCCATTCATACGTGTTAGGTCCCCAAACTCCCAGTCTGTCGCCTCTCTTCAGGCCCAAAGCAAGCAGACCTGCAGCCGCCTTGTCAACCTGCACCAACAAATGTCACAACAATAGCAGGTATGTTGTCACCACTGACAGTAGAATTCTGACATTTTACAATTTAGCTTTCCTGCCTTTGTTAGCGTTTAATGATTTTTTTTTTTACTGCATGCAATGAAGGTATTCCTGTAATTCAGAGGATGTGATGATTTCCTTAAGAAGAAAAGAACAAATTCACATTGTGAAACTAAATTTCATGGTTGCTGCATCATTTTAAGTCACTGACACACCAGACAGTCATTTTAAAAAGGCACATTCTGTGCTTTAGGATTAACACATGTGATTTTGTCAGGTGTAAAAAGTTCTAACAGCTATTTTATTGAGTAAACATTGAAATGAATCACATCTTGTTGAAACTGTGCAAAGGTTTTCCGGATGCCATCCTGCAGGAAGACCACAGCTTCACGGTCAGGCCAGCGCTGAACTGTGGAGTCCAGGCTCTGGCCTACAGTCAGGGGGAGCAGAGGGATGGTGGAGGTGCCATGGACATAGCTGGTAGTCAGAGAGGGTTTGTTGGGAGGAGTGTCCACATGGAGGGACCTGGCAAACAAAGAATGAGGAAAAGCACAGCAGTCAGTTTAAGTAACAAGTAATTTTCATGTTCCTCTTTTTAAGTGTAGCCTACCAAAACAAAAGGCATCTTCCAGTGACAGTCCTTGGACCAAATTGGCCACAATGCTCATATCAATACTGCAGTCAACTACTGCGCATGTTCAGTGAGTAGCATACCCTGAAGGTAACCCAGAAGCTTTTAACTTTTTTGGTGAGCATTTCTCACTGGACTGAATAGGCACCATCTTGGGCTCGGGTTTTCAGATCTAGTAATACATCCATGGGCTACAACTTGGCAAGTGATCTCCCAGCCCTCCGTAAGCTCAGTCCTCTTCTGCTTTAGGCTAGCAAGACTACATTAGCCGGTACTAGAATAACAAACCCAAATATCTTCTGATTAAACTGTAGTTGGTTGAGATGCATTATGGGTAATTTACAGTGACACAGTGACCTTTGACCCTTGACCTTTAACTACCAAAATCTGATCAGTTTTTCTTTGAGTCCAAGTTGAGGTTGGTGCCAAAACTGAAGAAAGGCATTCTTGAGATTTTTGAGATATTGCAATGTGACCTTAAACCAAGGAAATCTGATCAGTTCATCAAGTTCAAGTGGACGTTTGTGCCAAAGTTGAGGAAATTCCCGCAAGGTGTTGTTGAGATATTGTGTTCACAGCAATGGGACAGACAAAAACATATAGCCACACCTGTCATCGGAGCAGAGGCCTAAAACCTGTCCATTCTGAATCAGATAGATAGTTGAATTTGTGCTTTTTTAAATCGATGAACAACCAATCCTATAGGCTATTTAGATATCTCACAATGATCCTTGTCACTTGGTTTCAAAGCATCTTCAATAAATACTTGAGTACAACCATGTTGCCATTTGACCACTAAACATAAAATGCATTGAACTCACCGACACCACTGGAGCAGACCTGTGCTGCATAATTTCCAAGCCTTGCTGTGTTTGAGTCCATCCACGGATCTCAGACTGTGAGCACAGGATCTTAACAGTGCTGACATTGCTCCTAAGTATCAAACAGTCTGTTACAGCTGGATCTAAACACTCTCTGGTGAGCAGATACTGGGTCCTAACAACAAATATGCTCAGTTTTACCTGCCTTTCTTGACCTAAGTTGAAATTTATCATCCATGTGTAACGTTAATCTTTAACTTCCACTCATTCTCACTGGCTAAAAGCCTGTTGGCAATAAAAAGATTTATATGGTCTGCACATAAAATACCAAAGACAAGGAGCTGATAACAAATATGAGCCACCAGGACAGAAAGACACTGGCACCAGGGGCGGAAAAAAAAAGCTCTCGCGACTGGTGCTGCTAAGAGCAGAAAAGTTTCAGATATGTTAGCGGGGGCCGGCCTGGCTTCAGCTGCGCCTGCGGGTCCCTCTCAGCAGCAGGTGGTGTCGGTGTCGGACAGTGAAAAGTGGAAGTAAGGTTGCCGCTGCCATGGAGGTGGTACAGGAGCAGGAGGAGATTGGTGGTGGTGGTGATAGTAGGTGTGTGCCAGCATGGTGTGGATAAACACTCATTCATATAAAGGTTTAGCCTTGGACCAAGACGTTCATGCAATGAACGTCTTTTTTACAATTTGTAATCACTTTAATAATGTTATCTGTCTTTCACAGGGCTGAGGAGGGCTTTATATTTGTTCCAGTGTGTGCTTTGTGAGGGACTTACAGTTGTCTTCCTTGTTGCCAGTGTCCTGATGTGCTTTAGCCAGCATCCTCCTTGTAAGAGCAATACAATTACTTTCCTCTTTTCTTGGCTATCTATTATACATGTATTTTAGTCAAGACTTGATAACTTGCATGGATATTGTTCAGTTATCACTTAAATAATGTATACATCTTTTGTTGTCTGTCTTTCACAGGGCTCTCTATTTGTGTGATTGTGAGTGACCTACAGTACCTTGCTGCCAGCCTGCCAATGCCATGACAGTTTCACCGCCTATGAGTGAGTGATAAATAAACACTCTTGAATCTTAAATCCTTTCTCCAGTATCCTTCTTAAGACCAAGTGAGCAACATACTGTGTAGTCATGATTTATTTTATTCAAGGCTCCAGAATATAAAGGGATATTGTTCAGTATAGTAGCCTAGTGTTATTAAGGGCTTGTGTGTTTATGTACTTCAACGGGGGGCGAGTTGGCACAGTATCTGAATGCGGATTGTAGTGGTGGACCAGTCTGGACCAAAAAGTCCAGGGCCAAATTTTTGTCCCAGTCCAGCCCTGGCTGGCACTACACATCATCAGTATATTTATTGAAACGAAATAAAATAAATAATAAAATATGTCCACTGCGACTCTTTGCAACCACAAAATGATATTATCTTTAGTCCTAATGTTAGTGAAAAATCGTCTAGCTTATTGGCAAGCTAACTCGTTAGCATAGCCTACCTAGTTAGCAAGCTAACTCACTAACCTTGCAGTAGCTTATAGGGTGTTTGTTCAATGATACTGGGGATTTATTTTTCAATTGAACAAATGTAATCTTGGAAAACTTGATTTAGCTCAGAAGAAATACAAAGGAGCAGTGCAGTGATGATGTTAGAGGGCTGTGATTGGTTCATTGCAATGCTGGTCCAGGAACATAATGTTGATCCAGGAGCATGTCCTACTTGGCTCACTTACATCATGCAAAAGGACACCCCTTATTAATATTATTAACAGTCCTTCACTTAATAAAACTGATGGAATAACTTCTTGTCCATTTCTTCCCTTAATATGTTCTTCTTGATCTGTAAAAACAAAAAGCAGCAGTCTTTTCAGTCAACCATAATCTGCACTGCCATCTTGATCGTACAGTAGAAGAATTGTAGCACTCTGATTGTACCTTTCCTATAGCTGTCAGAGGGTAGCTGTCTACGAACATCACATAGTGTGGGATCTTGAAGTGAGAAATCTAGGAAGAAACAACACAAACTGAACAGCTGTGCTTTGATTATAAGTATGTTGAGATATTTTATTTTTAACATAACCTACTCTCACCTGGCCTTTGCAGAATGCTCTTATCTCCTCTGCACTGGAGGTCTGGCCCTCCTTCAGCCTGATGCAGGCACACACCTGCTCACCCAGCCTCTCATCTTTCACTCCAACCACCTGGGAAGCAGGGAAAATGACTAGAGTGTAGAATTAGCGTCTCGGCTCATTGTAAAACATCGAATTTATTCTCATTAAATGATGAAATGAACAATAAAAAGAACATCTACAACTGTATTCACATTAAGCAAAAGCGATTATGACTTCAAGGTGTATCTTTGCTGTCAGCTGTGTGGAGGCCATGTATATCTTTGCTGCCCTCTAGTGCTATTAGGTCTCACCTGCACCTCCTGAACTTTGGGATGTGTAGCAAGGAACTGCTCTATCTCAGCAGGGTAGATGTTCTCCCCTCCTCGGATGATCGTGTCCTTTATGCGTCCTTCAATGCGGCAGTATCCCAGACTGTTCAGACTGGCCGTGTCACTGTGTAGAAGAAGAAAAAAAACAAAACACAATGTATAATGGAGTGCTGAATGAAAAAAGTAGGTTACATTAACTGTTAACAATGTGTTTATGTAAAAAAAAAATAATTGACAAATCTAAATATTAAATGTAATTCTAAATGTGAAATCTTCAAGGGGAACACCACCCAAAGAAAGAATTCCAGTATGTTATTTCCATGGCCAAGGAAAGTTGAATCAGGAAAAATCAGCTAAATGTGAGATGAGTGAGCTTAAGATTAGAAATATATCAGATAATTGTAACTGAATTTCTAAATTTCACACTCTGTCACATGTAATATACAATATTTCCCACCTGAGCATGAATCCTTGTATTTACTTTTTTAATACCCATCAGCGCACATGGTACATGTAGGATCTTACCCAGTCCTGTACCAGCGGTCTTGGGAGATAACCTCTCTGGTCTTTTCCGGATCGTCCCAGTATCCATGCATCACACAGCTGCCTCTGATCATCAGCTCTCCTGAGGCCCCCAGAGGGACAATCTCCCCAGTAGTAGGGTCCACCACTTTGGCCTATAATGAAGACACACCAGCACACTAAATCACAGTATAGTTATGGTGATGTGTAGATAAAGGTTTGTCCAACAAATAAGACATGCCTCAGTGTGGTTCATGATGCATCCAACAGTATTTATCTTCAGGTCCTCTTCATCTTGTGGGAATCCCAGAAATGTTACGGGGCTGTTCTCAGTGGTTCCATAAGCTAACTATTAAAACATGATGCACATGTGTTCACACATGCTGGAAAAGCTATACTGACATTAGTTTAATACAGGACGTACAACCACTTACCATTATGCCTTTCACGTTCATGTCTGTTTTCAATCTTCTCGCAACCTCAGGAGGACATGGAGAACCTCCCATGAGGCCTAAAACACAGCAACACTTAGGTAAAAGCTTGCTAAACACCACACCTGTTCCAATACAACACAGTAATTATGTTTTAAAATCACTTACCAATTTCAACTGATGACACATCATACTTGTGTAAATCTGGTTGGCTGAGCATGTCAATGTACATTGTGGGAGTGCCATAGAAGACACTGCACCTTGAGCAAAAAACAAGAATCAATTAAGTTGCATAATGTTGTTTAATTGATAGTCATTTAGGTGATGAGCAGCACGCCGTACTTTTCACTCTGAATGGCCTCTAGGTTGGCTCGGCTGTTGTAGCCAGGGGAAGGGAAGACCAGTGTGATGCCATGTACTGCCATACAAATCCCTCCAGCTACAGTACCAAAGGTGTGGTGCATGGGTGCGGGAATGCACACTCGCACCTGAGGCTGATAGAAATGTGGAAAATAAGATTTATTACATTTCACTACCTGCATTTTCTTTATATCAAAAGACAAATATGGTCTTACTCTCCAGTCATAACCAAGTCGAAGACCCAAAAAATAAGCATTGTTTACGATGTTGTGGTGGGAAAGACATGCTGCCTTTGGACTCCCTGTAGTCCCCTGGAACAAATAAACAAGCATCATTTTCCAGTCAAGTTATACAAGGTATACAGTGCATGTGTAACAGTGTGAAAGATGCTGAAGGTTACTGATGTGAACTGGATGTTGATGGGCTCATCGAAGGACAGTTTACTCTGCAGATCCATCAGCTCTTTGTGGTGTCGACTCTCTCCTGCTTGCATCACATCCTCTACGTGGAGCATCCCTGGCTGTCTGCTATCTGTCACAATCACCATTCGCAAGTCTGGCAACCTGGCAGACCAAGGACAGGTTATATTACATTCACAGCACCATTAACTGTAGACAATGTGTGAAGTATTTACAGAGTCTTGCTTGCACAATAACAACAGAAGAAGAACATGTGTTAAATGTGACATTTCTCATTGACTGTCAAACCTGGTGCTTTTGATCGTGCCTGTTGGCTCTGTGTCGATCTCTGGGCAGAGCTCCCTCAGCATCTCACAGAAATTTTGGGTTTTAAAGTGACTTGGGCAGACTACAGCTTTACACTGGACCTGCATGTGGCAGATCAAGTCTGCTGAATGTATATTCTCAAACAGTACTATATAAGGATTATTTTTTCTGAGAAAATACATGTGGTTCTCACTGGTGGAAGAAGTACTCAGACATTTTACCGAAGTAAATGTAGCAATGTCACAGTGTAGAAACACTCTGTTACTAGTAAAAGTCCTGCATTCTAAAATAATACTTCACTTAAAGTACTAAAGTAAAACTCATATGGTGTATGACCCATTTCAGAGAAACATGTTTTGTCTATCTATATTTTTATTATCAATTTGAACCTAAACATTAACTAAAAACTAAAGGTATAAAATAAAGGAAGTGAAGTAAACAACATAGTACAATATTTGCCTCTAAATTATAATGTAGAAGAAGTATAAAGTAGCAAAAAAAAAAAAAAACAACTCAAGTACAGTACAGGTACCTGGAGTGAATGTACTTAGTTACTACCTTCTTTAGAGTAAACTCCACTTCCTTCACCTGATAGGCCGGGTTCAATGACACCTGCACATATAACAACAGTTTCACGACAAATATACATGCAACCCTTCAACATACATTTTTCAAAGGGCTTTGAAGTAAATACCATGTCTTACACATGATACATTCTGCACTGCATGGCTGAATGCCATATTACAACATACTGCATATAGAAAGAAGTAAAGATTTTCAACTTAAATAATGTATTCATCAAGATCATCAAGAGTTCCCTTAGTGTCATACTGTATATAGAAATAAATACTTATTTCTTTTACAACAACAGAGTAGCTCTCCAGGGCCCCTGATGAGGGTCAATGTCCTGCTCACTGACACTTTACAGCAGGGTGTTTGGGAACACAGAGCACACTGTTAAACCACAAGATTAAACTGTAAATCTAATTTCAAATCTGTAAACAACTCTGATACTGACCATTATAATTCCAGCTTTGGCTGACGCATATTGGAAAAGGATCCATTCATACGTGTTAGGTCCCCAAACTCCCAGTCTGTCGCCTCTCTTCAGGCCCAAAGCAAGCAGACCTGCAGCCGCCTTGTCAACCTGCACCAACAAATGTCACAACAATAGCAGGTATGTTGTCACCACTGACAGTAGAATTCTGACATTTTACAATTTAGCTTTCCTGCCTTTGTTAGCGTTTAATGATTTTTTTTTTTACTGCATGCAATGAAGGTATTCCTGTAATTCAGAGGATGTGATGATTTCCTTAAGAAGAAAAGAACAAATTCACATTGTGAAACTAAATTTCATGGTTGCTGCATCATTTTAAGTCACTGACACACCAGACAGTCATTTTAAAAAGGCACATTCTGTGCTTTAGGATTAACACATGTGATTTTGTCAGGTGTAAAAAGTTCTAACAGCTATTTTATTGAGTAAACATTGAAATGAATCACATCTTGTTGAAACTGTGCAAAGGTTTTCCGGATGCCATCCTGCAGGAAGACCACAGCTTCACGGTCAGGCCAGCGCTGAACTGTGGAGTCCAGGCTCTGGCCTACAG